TGTAAATGTTTATTAAATTCATTTTTCAAAGGCTTGCTTCAGTTCTAGTATTTTGTTATTGATTTTTTGTCTAGATGATCTATCTGTTTGTGATAGTCGGGTATTTAGATCCCACACTACATTTGTGTTAGTGCTTATTTAGTTTTTCATGTCCCTTAATATTTGTTTTAAATAGAAGGGGGCATTTAATATTTGGTGCATATATATTTATTATTGTCATGTCTTCCTCTTGGATTGTTCCCTTTACAAGGATGTAGTGGCCTTCTTTGTCTCTCTTAATCAGTTTTGATTTGAAATTTACTTTGTCTGTGAATAAGATAGCTACCTCTGCTTTTTTCTGGGCTCCTGTTGCATGGAGAATTGTTTTCCATCCTTTCACTTTCAGTCTATGAGTTTCTTTTTGCACTAAATGTGTTTCTTGTATGAAACATATTGTTGGATTTTGCTTTCCTAATCCCTTCTGCCAGTCTATTTTTTTGATTGGTGAATTGAGGCTATTGACATTGATGGTTATAACTGATATGTATTGACTTAACATTGTGATGTTATTTTCCTGTTGTTGGCTCTGTTTAATTTTTCCCCCTTTCCCTTTAGTTTCTTGCCTTGCCGTATTGATTTGCTCTTTTGGGCCTCATGATGTTGTGACCTTCATTGTATTTTTCTAAGATATTGCTTAGAATTGTTTGGACTGCTGGTTTGGTATTCATGAAGTTTCTCAGGTTTTCTTTGTCATGGAAGTATCTTATCTCCCCATCCATTTTAAAAGAGAGTTTTGCAGGATACATCAGTCTAGGTTGGAGGTTGTTTTCTCTTAGGGCTTGAAATACCTCACTCCAGGCCATCAGAATTACAGTAGACTTTTTCTCTCATTGAGTTTATTGGTACATTTTAGGAATACAGTACAGTTATATTCAAATATTCATCAGGGATCTTGTACCTTTATATGACAGGTCTTGGTTCTCATTTTTCCTCTTGTCCCTGCCCTCCCTTCACCTCATCCTACCCTCTCCATTTACAAACACTTTATTCCCATTTATCATTTTCTTATATTTTTTATTTTCCCTTATTACCTTTCCCCTGCCCTTCCCACTTTCCCTACACCTTTAGCCCTTTTCTTCCTATTTCACATTGTCAATTATTTCATTAGGATCTTATGTACAATTATAGTTTTTCACACTAGAGAAACTATTCGGTATTTACACAAGTGTGACTTATTTATTTCACTTAGGAGTATAGCCTCAATATGTATACATTTTCCTATAAATGATTCTAATTTTTCATTCTTTATGGCTTTGTAGAATTTCACTTTATAGAAAAACCACATCTTTTTTATGCAATCTCCAACTGATGGGCTAATGGGCTGTTTCCAAGTTTTAGCTAAACTGTGCCGCTATAAACATGGGTGTGCATATATCACTCTGGTATGATTCTTTTAATTCTTTTGGAAAGATACCCAGCAGAGGGATGGCTGGGTTAAATGGAACCTCTAGTCCCAGCTCTTTGAGGTATCTCCATATTGATTTCCACAGTGGCTGCACCAGTCTGCACTCCCACCAACAATGCAGAAGGTTTCCTTTCTCCCCACAACCCCGCCAACATTTGTTATTGTGTGATTTCTTGATAGCAGCCATTCTTTGTGGGGTGAGGTGGAATCTCAGTGTTGTTTTCATCTGCATCTCTCGAATGACCAGTGATGTGGAACATTTTTTTATATATTTACTTGCTTCTTTTACTTTTTAGTCTGAGAAATGTCTGTTCATTTCAGATGCCCATTTTTGAATCGGGTCTTTATATTTGGGGTCTGATTGTTTTGAGTTCTTTATATATTCTAGATAAGAGTCACAGTAGACTTTTCAATACAAACCCTCAGGTCAAGAAGAGCCTGGACTGAAGGGTTTCAAGTAAAAGAGAAAAAAAAAATTCCTGCAAAATATCTTTCAGAATTGATGGAGTATTAAGAAACTTCCACGACAAAGATCACATAAAAATTTATGACCACCAAACAAACACTCCAAAAAATTATCAATTACAACTATAAATTTTTTATACAGGCTCTCCCTATGTATTTGAGACTAACCTGGAACTAACTTTGTAGCCCAGGCTGGCCTCAAACTCACAGTGATCCTCCTGCCTCAGCTTCCCGAGTTCTGGCATTACAGGTGTGTACCACCATACCCAGCTATAACTATCAATTTGAATGAGCTCATTTCATTAATCAAAAGACACAAATTAGCAGAATTCATCAAGAAATAAAATTTAGTGTCACGCTATATACTTGAAACACATCTAAGAGAAAAAGAAATTCATAGAACAAAAATCAAAGGATGGAAAATAGTATTCCAAGTAACAGGAACCTGAAAACAAGCAGGAGCACCTAGCCTATTCTATAGTAGATTTTAAGCCAAAGCTGATCAAAAGAGACAAAGAAGGAAATTACATACTGGTAAACAGAGCTATTCAACAGAAAGAGATAACAATTATAAACATACGCACTGAAGCATGGTGCACCCAACTTCATAAAACAAGAAATAATGAATATAAAAGATTACATAAACATCAGTGCTATTAGAGTTGGGTATCTCAATTATCAAAGAAATTAGAAAAAGAAATATCAGAGTTGAATCAATCCTTTGAACAAATGGACTTAATAGATATTTACAGAGTTATCCACTCAACAACAACAGAATAGACATTCTTTTGTCAGTACATGGTACTTTCTCCAAAATAGACCAAATACTAGCTAATAAAACATTCTAAGTAAATGCAAAATAATAAAAAATTACCATGCATATCATCAAATCACAGTGCAGTGCAACTAGAAATCAGTAGCAAAAGAAACCACAGAAACTATACAAACATGGAAAATAACACACTGTCCAATAATCAGTGGGTCACAAAAAATGAAGCAATAAGTAAATTCCTAGAACTAGATGATAACACCAATATAACATACTAGAACTTATGGGACACAATGAAAGCAGTCCTAAGAGGGAAGATTATTGCTATGCATGCTAGGCATTCATGGGTTCTGTCATGGTCCTGAGCTCATCTATTTTTTGTCTGTTTCTGATCTAGAGTCTCTAATTATGTCTTTCATTGTGTTCACCATTTCTATAGTTATCTAGGAAATTATTTCTGTTTTGAATTTTTCTAGAGCCTTAGTGATCTGTTTAACTTCCTGGGCTATGAGTTCAGGGTGTCTTGATGATTGATTGTCAGACTTTTCCACCTTGTTTCCCCTAGAATTTTCCTTTGATTAACTGGAAGTCTGTATTTGTGACTTAAGGTTTTTCTCATTTTTATTTTTGTTGTTGGGCTGTCCTTGGTTTAATTCCTAGGTTAGTACTTTGATCTTCCTGATATAGCTGCTATTTAGGTTTTGAGTCTCTAATGACTCAGAGACACTCTCATTTTCATAATATCAGAAAGGGCAACTCATTAAATCAATCACAACCCTTTAGCATAATTGATACAATCAGCAACACAATATCATCAAGCACAGCTTAGAAATTGACCATTTGTGCTAGTTATTGATCTATCACTTTTAGCCATGTGAATTAAATCGAACTAGAGAACCAGCCAAAAATATGTTTATAGTGAATAAACTCTTCAATATAGCAACTTTACCCTTCAGGATGGGGACTTAGAAGGAGTTTGGAGAAGAGAAATAGGTAAAAGAATAGGAGAAGGTTTCAAGTGAAGCCAGAGGACACAGGATGATCATGCAAACTCTAGGAAACTGTTGATGTCAAGAGGGAAAGACAGAGTGCAAGAACAAAGACAAGAACAGAACAACTTAACAGTAATAAGGAGGCTATAAATTGTACTCACTTTCCTTTGTAACTAATGACCATCAAGCGAAGGAAAAAGAGAGCAGAAAAAAAAAAAGAAAAAAGAAATATGAATTAGGGCAGGAACAGGAACAAAAAGGGAGATGAAGAATAATGTGGGAAAGCAAGAGACTGAGTGGGAAAAAGAAGAAAGAAAAAAGGAAGAATTTGCAGAATGGGAAAAAATAAAAATTAAAAATTAAAAATAAGAGGAAAAGAAAGAAAAAAATTGAAGAGCCTCTTTCAGGGTATAGCTCTGCTGTCACTATCGACAATGTGGGCAGCAATGTGCAGAACTAAGTCAATTAGTCTCAGCTAGCTGACACCAGACCCCTGAGAGTCAGGCTGAATTCTGACTGCAAGGCCCAAGTTGAGCTCACTGACCTCCTGCAGAGTTGAACTCTGCAAGATTCTACTGCAGGTTCCAGCTGCCCTTCCCCTGAAGATAGTCTAGCTTCTGATGGAAGGTGGTGATCCCTCCAACTTACCAACTACGGAGGTCTGATGTGCCTTTATTGCAGTTCATTTCTGTTCTATCTTCTGAAGCTCAGTAAAATGGCCTTTATGACCACCTGTGCCTCTGCAATGTGGATCCAGGTATCGGCAACCAGGAGGCCTGAGAGCATGGGGGTGGGGGTGTGGGCAGGAATGCTGCAGAGGTGCCCTGGGCAATCCTCACCGGTCTGCTGCGATGATGAATTCCTGGGGCACTGAAGGTGGGGGGGCAGCCTTTTTTTTTTTTTTTTTT